TATATGTATGTATATGTATATGTATATATATGTATGTATATGTATATGTATGTATATGTATGTATATGTATATGTATATGTATATATATGTATATATATATATATATATATATATATATATATAGATATGTGTGTGTGTGTGTGTATATATGTATAAAACCCTTCCCACAGTCTTGCAATATTCTAATCAATGTTTCTAAACTTTAAATGCTCTAAAAGAGCAAAGAATGTCGTGATATCTCTCTCTGTCTCCGCTGTTCTTTCACACCTGCAAACGCACATGGCCATGCCCACTTCTCCGCTCTGCACGGATAACAGCTGATCAGCTGTTAAGCTGCAGGAGGAAGCTTATCCTGCAGTGTGGGCTGCACAAATATGCAGCAGGTGCTAAATAATTAAAAATAATTTATTTAAAATAAAAATTCCATGCCGATCATTTGGCTCATCTATCAATCTGCCAATTGTGTATCATGTACAATCTTATTTTTAAAAACCACGATAGAGCGAGTCTGCGAAAAACAAACTGCGAAAACTCAAAAGTCAAGATTGCAAGTCTCTGCGACTCCAAAGACTAAATCGAGAAGCCATAAAAACAGTTTCAGACATTCTGAAATCTCTCTTTTGAATGCCTTTCATCAACTCGTCCAAGCAGGTAAAATGAAAGTGTAAGAAACACAAGACAACTTTGGGAGGGATTGTCAGCTCATGAAACCAAATTATGACAAGATGTTTGGCTGATTGGTAATTCAAACTGATAATGAATAGATGGAATCTGTAATCAAATTGAAACATAATTATGGCACTTTGTAACTAAAACAAATTGTACATCATTTGCAGAAATATGTAAATGTTGCTATTTATTACAGTTATGCAATGTGTTGTAAGCAGGGGTGGAAGTAACGAATTACAAATACTCACGTTACGTAATTAAGTAGATTTTTTTGGGTACTTGTACTTTTATGAGTATTTCTTTCAAGTGTGTAATTTTACTCATACCTAAGTACAATTTAGACCATGCAATCTACTTCACTACTTTTAAAATCAGAAGTCGTCACTGAGGGCGACCACAATTTGAATTAATATTCAGTCCTTTCATCTACATCTTTGTAGCCAATAAGGCTCTCAGATCGCAAACATGCCAATTACTTATGATGTAAGCAAAGGACAACTCTGTAGAGTAGAGTCATTTTTAGATTCTACTCTTCACAGCCAAACAAAGCCAGATAAACTCTGGTAACTTAAAAAACAGCTCCTGCTGACACTGAACAAAATGTTCAGGAAGTAATGGGTGACAGAAATGTCAGTCCTGTTGTTCGCAGTGCATTTGGAAAAGCTTAAACTGTTCTATGCCGGTTCAAAAACATTTAGTCTTTCTTTTCACAAACACAATTCCTGCTTTATCTACATTTGTTTCCAAAATAAATGGCCTTAGTGTAGTTTTTCTATACTTTATTGTTCGTCTGAGAAATGTGCTTTGAATGTAGCTATTATATACAGTAAATCGAATTGAATGCCTTCTATTGACAACATAATAAAACATAAATTGGTTAAAAATTAATTAATACTCTGCCCGTACTTTTACTTGTAACCGAGTACAATTTAAGCAGTGTAACAGCACTTGTACTTGAGTACAACTTTTCAGTACTCTTTCCACCTCTGGTTGTAAGTACAAATTCAGTGCGACTCTGTGTAAAAATGTGCATATTTTCTCACAATTATATGTCTCAAACTGGACAGATCCAGCCCAGTGAGTTTCAGGCCTTAACCAATCTTAAAACGAGATGTTTGGGCCAATGCCTAACTTTGTGTTTTAATCTTCTCGTTTTCCAATTGTCGTTTATTTATTTCTAACTGGTGGAGAAGGTGTCTTATACATGCATGTACCAGAGTTTTGGTTTCAGATTATGACAGTTCCTCTGCAGTGATGAGGGAAGCCTGCTGTCATCTGCATGAGTCAGGTTACTGTAACATGTCTGTCTGCGCAGCGCTGCCAATGCAGCGGACAGACTGCTCAGCAAAGGACTGAACTCTGTCCAGCTCTTGAGCGTCATGCTCGATCGCACTCCTCCTACACAACACAGGGCAGAAAGCAGCCCACCCCTACACATGCAAACACACACATAAAAATATGCACATTTGGTCATGCCACCTTCAAAAATTAACAAGCCAAACTCAGCAGTCACAGACTTTATGTAGGTAGGCTGGATAATCAAAGCCAGGACGTTAAAAGCAATCCATTTTCTGACAGACTCGTCTGCATAAAAAGAAAAACAATGGAAACTGAAAATCAGCAGTCATGAAAAGTCACAAAACGCCACTTACAGTAATGTGCCTCACTAATTTAACAAACAAAACAACAGCAAGGAAGTGGGAACATCACATCTACTCCTACGCCTGCAGGCAGGCAGGCAGGATGGCACTTCAGATTGAAAGTTATATAACAACACTGGTATGAGATTACACTCAGTTTGGCCTCAGAGGGGTTACGAGAGAGGAAAATAGTCAAATTAAAAAGTCTGAGTGGCCTATTGAGTGGGAAAAAGTGCAGCTTGAACAGAAACGAGTGGAGAAGCTAATATTTCCAGGGACTGTGGAACTGACAGAGCTGGATCCAAAATATATAATTAAAAACAAAACAAAATCCCAGCTTTCAAATAATTGATTCTATAGTTTAGATTTTTACACACTTTTTTCTTTAATCCTTTATTTAAAACATGTTAAAGTTCCTCCTCTGTGGATAGAAAACTCTTCTGTGGATGTAACTTACCCCTCAGTTTGAGTTCGGGCACATGTTTTTGCTGTAACATATAGATTTGGGACTTTTGCGTAACAACGGATCGATTAATCAATAGGAACGTGAGGGAGGCTCCGCGCGGCACTCCGAGCTGCATTGTTTACTAAAACGTCCCCTGCTGACCGGAAACGACGTGAAACAACAAACGCCGACGCGCTTTGAACTTAAGAAGCGATGGAGACCTTCAAAGGGAGGAGGATCATTCTCCAACTGCAGGTGTTCTGCAACTCTGCAGGAAGTTTCCTTTTCTTCCTCTCACTCTCTCTCTCTTAAGTCTTGGCGAGCAGCTGCGTTTGTCTGTGTTGGACGCAAATTCCGCCTCAGAAATGTGTGCCTTACCTTGTTTGTGAAGGTGTGAACAGGTGTTGGGAGCTCTGCAGTCTGCAGTCAGGCGTCCTGGCGAGTTTAGCGGAGCTGTTTGCCCGAGCTGAGGCTCTGAGTCCGGCGGAGCACCATGCTGTGTGCGGGGCTTGTCAGGAAAATGCTCACCAGCACGCTGGTGGTGACAAGGCGGAGGAGAGCGGTGGTGTTCTGCTTTTTTTTAATTCTCTCTGAGCATCCGAAGTGATGCATAGTCACAGCAGAGACAGCCTGTGTGCCCCCCGCTCTCCCGCCTCCCTGACTCTGACACACACACAC